CTTCTCAAGCAAATCCCGGGACGTCATTCTCCCCCTGTACTCGGCCTTGGTGAGGCCGCAGCTGGAGTACTGTGTCCAGTTTTGGGCTCCACAATTCAAAAAGGATGCGGAGAAGCTTGAGAGAGTCCAGAGAAGAGCCACGCGCATGATCAGAGGTCAGGGAAACAGACCCTACAATGACAGGCTGAGAGCCCTGGGGCTCTTTAGCCTGAAAAAGCGCAGGCTCAGGGGTGATCTGATGGCCACCTACAAGTTTATCAGGGGTGACCACCAGCATCTGGGGGAACGTTTGTTCACCAGAGTGCCCCAAGGGATGACGAGGTCGAATGGTCACAAACTACTTCAAGATCGTTTCAGGCTGGACATAAGGAAGAATTTCTTTACTGTCCGAGCCCCCAAGGTCTGGAACAGCCTGCCACCGGAGGTGGTTCAAGCGCCTTCATTGAACACCTTCAAGATGAAACTGGATGCTTATCTTGCTGGGATCCTATGACCCCAGCTGACTTCCTGCCCTTTGGGCAGGGGGCTGGACTCGATGATCTTCCGAGGTCCCTTCCAGCCCTGATGTCTATGAAATCTATGAGATGACAGTTCAGTAAGTGACAATCTCAGCATCTCAGATGATTAACTTCTACACTAGAATATATCTGGGTGGCTGGATTTCTCTGCAGTCATAGACATGTTATCACTAAAACTCTATTCTTTTCTTGTAAGTAGACAGCGACTGAAATTTATAGAGCAGAACAGCATCCTTGAATATTGTATGCAAAGAACAGAACTGGGAGATAGACAAAAGGGGAAGAGGTATGCCCATACTGTGCGTTCAGATCGTTGCTGTACTTTTCAGCCTACCAGGCTTTTTAAGAGTTTTAATACATTCTGATTACAGGATAATTTAACAGCTCTTACCTGAATACAAAGTCAGAATTATTAATTTCCATGCCACAGCTGGAGTTTTTCAGAATGCCCCCATTTCCAACCACTGCACAGTGCTTGAAGGGGTGGCTCAGAAAGGGAGGGGACTGCAAGGATACAAAAAGGAATGAGTTTGGTTAGTTCCTCTCCCCCAACACCCCAGTTCCAGTGAGAAAGTTTGTTCATGCTGGCTAGCTTCAGTAAGTTAGAGGAAGTAAACAGAATTCTGCAAACCAGTCTGCCAGAGGCAATCCTGGCTAGAGAGCCCTGAATAAATAAGGAATGGAGGAGGAGCTGCTATTTTTGCTTTCAGTGGTTTGGGGAAGTAATGTTGCATTGTTACAACTGAAGAAAATACGCATTACTCTCTCTTTTCCTTTCCTAAAAATGTATATTCAGCGTATGTATTGTATTAAACATATAGTATACCTGTGTTCCTGAGCAAATTAATAGGACCACAGCAGAGGTTTCCAAAACACTTTCAAGTCACAACCCCAGTAAATTCTGTGTGATCCCATATACACACTTAGCACTAGTTGTGTGCCTGCTTTTAACAAAGAATGGTGATTTACTATGCCTCAGCAGCTCCACAGTAACTCTCCCTGTGCCCATTTTTTTTCCTGTGGTAAGCTAAACTAGGGCAGCTTAACCCAAATGAAATATGGTTAAGTTGCCCTGGATTTCATTTACTGCATGGTACTTGGGGCACAGAGAAAATTGCCATGGGGCAACTGATACATGGTAAAACCCAGACCCTGCTAATTAAGACCATATGAGGTAATTATAGGTTTGGGAGACTTTAGGGTTCTGTGGGGCCTACAACCCCAATAGGTGATTCCCCTAAATTCTTTTCTCAGACTGACCACTTATTCTGAGACAGAATAAGAGAGATGGAGCAGTGAGTGTTCTGTGGGAAAATAAAGAGGAGAGGGAAACTGGCAAACACTAATTGCCACAAAATTTTCTCATAAGATAAATAACAAAAGGGTTTCATTTGGAGAAAAACTGTACCTTTTTGATCCTGGAAAGAGTTTGGCTTTGGTCTGTTTTAGTATAGAAACACATTGTATTCTAATGACAAGGCACTTTGGCAAGACTACCCTGGTTGCCATAGAAAGTACATATACATATAAGCACATATCATACATATAATTCTCCTTTAACTTAGTCCAGTTTTATACCACTGTAACTCTACCTACTTCAATGGAATTGCTCCCAATTCATAGCAGTGAGAGATGAAAAATCAGACCCATAGTACTAGGGCAGGGACAGGCAATTATTTCAGGCATAGGGCTGCTTACTGAGTTTTGGCAAGGCATCGAGGGCCGCATGACAGGCAGCCAGGGGAAGATAAATATTACTTTCTAAATTTTTTAGGGGCCCCATGGGCCAGATAGAATGGCCTGGGAAGCCACATCCGGCCCCCGGGCTGCATTTTGCCCACCCCTGTACTACAGCATACTTAAGTCATGGAAGTTGTGAGGGGTGTCAAAAGTCATCTCTTGTCAGGTACACATTAGGGTAGGGGCGCTCAACCTTTTTGGCTGGGGGGCTGGATGGGGAGTGACCAGGCCATCCAAAGGCCAGATCCAGTAGGAGGTCCTAATCCCACATGGGGTGATTGCAGAAGGGCACAATCCAGCTGTATGGAGGGGGCAGGGGCCCTGTGGAGTGGAGGGAGAAGGCATTTCCCCTGGGGGGAAAAGGGGAGTGGCTCAGCCCCAACCCAGATCCATAGTGGGGAGGATGCATGGCCCAGTCCCACAGGACATAGGAGGTGTGGTCCAGCCCATGCCTAGTCCCACAGGGGGAAGGGGGCTTGACCTGGCCCCATGGTGGAGAAAAGAGCATGTCCCAACCCCAACCTGGTCCCACAGGGAAATGGGGCATGGCCCAGCCTCATCCAGCCTGGGGTGGGGAGCATGGCCTGGCCTCATCCAGCCACAAGCATATGGGGATTGGGGTTTGCGAATTTGGCAGTAGGGGAGGGTGTCCATATTAATGGCCACCACTCCCCTGTCGCTGAATTTCCCAATCCATGGACAGCCCCAAGGGCCAGATGCCTATGGCTGTGGGCTGCATCTGTCATGCAAAGATTTCAAATTTTTCTCCTAGAGCAAAAATGCCTATTCCAGGAGAAAAATAACCTGGGAAGAATGAGGGTTAAATCACTCCTGGTAGAACAAATGTCTGTACAATTTACTCTTTGGAGAGAAGCTACAATAGTCTTTAGTATCCCAGAGTGTTTTGCTCTCCCTCCCTCCCCAGTCCCAGAGACAGTATGTTGCTTGGTCTGGACTCTACTACTCCTGCCAAACAGAGAGCAGAATATGCCTCCTTCAAAAATCCCACATTGTGCAGCAGGGAGAGAGAGACTGACTCTGAGCAGTTTGGGTCAGCCAATAAGGGCTGCTCTGTGCACTGCTGCTATCTGTTGCCAGGAAGACCGAGGGAGCCTGCAGAACATGCTGAGATGTGTTCACAGGGGTCCCCTGCTGTGTAGCATCAGCACTGCATGCTCTCTGCACTTTAGGGATTTGGAATTGAGATGTCTGTTCAGGTGTATCTGGGTATATTTTCTACCAGGAACAAACCCAGGAGAATTTTCCCATGTCATTTGAAAGTGTGTATGCAGCAGAAGCAAGGCACACATATAATCCAAAGATTAGTGTCCCCCATTCTGATCCAAAATCTCAGATGTTGTGAATCTGTTACAGATTCACTTACAAAGCCTGACTCTTTAGTCTAACTGTGGCAGGGCACTTGACATGCCTGCCACTAAGAGGTCAGGCAGTCTGCAGAGCCACTGGCAGGTGGGGTCAGGCCTAATTAGAGTCAGCTGACCCAGGGACTGGCAGGTGAGGCTAGGCCTGATGAAGGGAGTCACTGGATTCTAAGGCAGACACCTGACTGGAGGAGGGCTGGGTTTAGATAGGGTTGCAGGTTCAGCTGGGTCCAACGGCTGGAGAGAAGCTGGGAAAGTGAAGAATTAACAGGGTTTAAGATAAGGGACCAAGGCAGGAGCTGACAACTGGGAGAGGGGCTGAGAGAGAGACCAAGGGACAGATAGCCCAGTGACTGGTTGCATGAGACTGAGGAGTCTGAGAGCCCAGAGGAGAGACCAAGGGTTTTGGCAACCTGAGTGGGGCTGAGACAGACCAAGAAGTCGGAAGGCCCAGAGAGGAGCTATATCAGCAACAGACCATCTGCAAGGATGCCATCTGTGAGGCATGGGGCATCGTATAGAGGTAGATTTGGAACCATGTAGGGAAGGTATGGAGATATGCGATTGGCCCACAAGGCCAGGACCACAAGTTGAGTGGTCATTATAGTAATATCAGGGCAGCCTCCTGCAATATATATGCCAATTAACATCAAGGCATGGTGGGTAAGAGCAGGGTGGTCTGCCCTTAGAACAGGGTATTACAAAAAAATTTTTGGGTGCCCTGTTACACAAACCAATAAAGGTTAGTATTTTCAGTTGTGGAAGGTGTTAGTTCAAATCTGGCAGTCCTCTGAAAGAATATGCATAACAATAGCCATAAGCCTACATCAGAGTGATCAGGATTGGGGTAGCCAATATGAAATAGTTATTGAAGATTAAAATATTTCATAAGCATTTGAAAATAGGAATCAGAAGAGCAATGTAATAGTGAAGAGCAGGGTTCAGTACATGAGCTTGAACTCTTGGGGCATGTCTATACGAGATGCTAACTGTGCAGTAGCCTAATAAAACTGTGCAGTAGCATATCCTAGCACAAACAGTGCCAATACACAGCTGTGAAGTACTATTAGACTATCGTGCATTAGTGCCACTCAAAAGGGATTCACCAGCACTACTGTACAGTAACTCCAGTTACTGTGCATTTATTTAGTACTTGATTATATAAATACTAAATTAAATGCACAGTAACCACTGTACATTAACGAACATGTAAATGTGCCCTTGGAGTAGAAAATATATTTGGTTCCTGCAAGAGGAAGCAACTTGCTGGGCTGCTCACCAGTGGCCCCTGTGGCTAAACTGAGCAGTGCTGAAGAGCATTAAAGAGAGTCCCACCAAACTCTCTCCTTTGTGTAAGGCAGTTATCAAGAAGCAAGTCCTTGATAAGGGAATAAAGAATAGTGTAGAAAGGGGGGGGATCCTCCTAAGAGACCCAAAACAAACAGCTCTCATTATTAATATAAAACATTTGTATCTCCATAGTTATAAAAACAAAAATGTCATAGGACCTGTTCTTACCGCAGGCAGCATCCTAAAAATGTCTTCTGTGATATGGATAGACTTTTTATGGTCCACTTCATAACTCAAGTTACTTCCCAGTGGGGTATTGTTTTGAGAAACAATGAAGTTGTGAGCAGCGTCACAGCAGGAAGCGAGTTCTGACCTGCAAAAGACCAGCATAGCTAATGAATCAGAAAAAGGTGGCACAGAACTAGAAAATAAAGTCCATTTCTCATTAATTTAGTCGTCAGTAAAGCTGCATGAACCTTTCAGAATGAAGTTTTCCTTGACTTGCTTTGTAATGGGCCCAAACAGCTGTTTGTCAAAAAGTTGGCAAGATTTTTGATAAGCTCAGGAACCTTTTCTCTTGTTTTTCTATGCCCAGCTCTTCCTTAGGAAAAGGTCAATAATTACCCTTTTTGTCGTCATCGGTTATTAACATTATGAAGAACTGAAAGACCCCAACCGTGACCATATTCCACTTGGCTCTGTGAAAACACCACATGTCTATACCTGCCCTGAAGAGCGAATATTCAGATTTCAGGAAAGGTATAATGAGCAGGTATAGCAAACTGAAGGGATATGGGGGAAGGACAAGGAGGGTACCAGTGACAGACCCAGGTCCTGGAGCAGCTCCCTGCCCAGCTGAGCACCCTGCCAGCACTGCTGAGGCTGGTCTCTATGGAAACCCTGGTACTGTGTTGTCAAGGCACTGCCACTCCTGGGGTCTCCATGGAAACTGGCTTCAGCAATGCAGGCAGGGGCTGCAGGGAAATGGAGTCTGCCATGGGCCAGACTTTGCCCGCCCCTGCTTTAGATGGTTTTGAGTCAACTGATTAATAATTCACTGTAGCAACTGTTCAGAAAACTACTGCTGTGCCCGACTTTCACAGACATTAAATAGGAAAAACAACTTGGAAATAAAGAAGATAGGTGTCTCCTGTGTGATGGAAGTAGAAATAGCCTGATATGCTTCTAACACAAACCATCAGATGGGCTAGACAGTCTGCTCAGGTCCCACTTACATGTCCTCTAGGAAGATGGATTCTTTGCCATCCATCTCATGTTACTTTCTAATGGCTATATCTCTAAATGTTACATACTATTGTTTTGAGAAGCTGTGACATTGTGACTAGCAGCAGTAGGACTCTGGAATCTGCTGCTGGTCTAGCTACTCTGTGCCTCAGTCTGTGGCCTGATACATCCCACAATGCACTGGGGAGCTGTTCATCTCTACCATCAGAAAGTATGGGCTAACACTTTCACTGTTCAAGTGATTTATGGCCAGCTTTGATATTCATGAACTGACAGACCTCTCCTATATCAGCTCAGAACCACCAGAGCTAATTAAGTATTAACTGTGTAGTGAGGAAAAAGCTATACAGTGCTAACAATGCTGCTTGGAAATGATAAAAATACAATGCAGCAGAGGATACAGACTTGTTCATTTCATCACACAGGAATATAATTTGAAAGTACACTTTTTTTTTTTTTTAATTCTATGCAGTGAGTAAAGAATAGCTGTTATATTACATACACATTTAATGAATAGGGTAAGAATGCCAAGCCACTGGAAAATGTTAATTAAACAATACAGACAAATTGTGCCCTAAATTACCTTGATTTTAACAGAATGGAGTGGAGCAAGGGAGAGTGCCAGTTGTGCAGCCAACACTATCAGTGAGGTAAACCAAGCCATTACTCCGCTAAAAATACGTTTTTTTTCCCCTGCTGTAGTGAGGGTAGATTTTACCAGCTGAACAACACACAGAAGATAGAGATAAAAGATGCAAATGCGCTGTTCTCTCCCTGCTTGCAAAGGGTAGGACACGTGGCAAAGTTTAAATTACAGGGAAATGGATGTAGATTAAATGTCAGAAAAAAACTTCTGACTGTAAAACACTAGGGCAATGGAACAAGGTAAGCTGTGAAATCTCCTTCACTGGAGATTTTCAAGAAGTGGCTGGACAGTTATTTATCTGGGATGGTTTAGTAAAAATGAACTCTGAATTTGTTCAGGGGTTTACAGTAAGTGACTCTCGAGAGTCTTGCCATTCCTATAAGCAGCAGCAGATCCCAGGAGGATGGCAGAGAGAATGCTTTGTGTTTATTCCATTTGTCACTTCTCTTTCATGTTCCAGTGAGATCAGAGAATCCTTGATTACTCTTGAACAGAGTTCCTGTGTGTGTGAAGGAGCCTCGATGCTAGACAATGGGTACTGGGGTAAATACATGAAGATGGGTTGTGGTGTGTAAGCATGTGCGAGGCATAGGTAGAGGGAGAAAATGTTATTGTGGGGGCTGACAGCGTGCGTCTGTGGAAGAGAAGGAGCGGCAGGTGGAGCGGGGGGTAGATCAAAGCCCCCATAATGAGGGAGGCAGTAGGGCAGGGGCAGGAGCAAATGGGGTAATCAGAGCCCCGGGAGGCTTGTCCAGGAGGACAGGGAGATCCCGCCACTCCTGTGCGGCTTGTCCAGGAGCATGCGGCGGGTTGTGGGGCAACCAGAGCTCCTGCGCGGCTTGTCCAGGAGCACAGGGGGCTCCTGCACAGGCCCCCTGGATTTGTGCATGGGGCAGAGGCAGGCTGCCACTGCAAGCTGGGCTTTGCACCTCACTACCATTGCCTCAGGAGCTGTGTGGCGCCATGTGCCTGCCACCCCCGGGCTATGCTGCATCCCTTGCCTGCCCGACAGCTGCAGGCACTTGAGGTCATGCAGTTCCCACAGCAGTGGCAAAGGCAGTGGGGTGCAGAGCCAAGCCTGCAGCGGCAGCCCACCTCTACTCTGTACACAAATTTGGGGGGCACGTGCCCACCCATGACTCTCCTGGGGTACATGCAGTGGCAGGAGCCCCCTCCACCCCTGGACAAGCTGCCCAGGGCTTGGATAGTCCCAAGACCCATCCCAGGGCCCCATTTACCCCAGTCCCTGCCTCTGCCCCACTCTCTCCCTCACTGTGAGGGCCTCAATCTGCCTCCCTGCCTTCCCCTTCACAGACTGAGACTAGCCTGCTGTGCTGGGCAGTGATCTGGGCTGCGAGTGTCTGAGTTTCTGCTCACCCCTTCCCTGCCACTGCAGCTGCCCAGAGCCCACACCGGGGCTGCCCTGCAGCCCTACCTGCTTCCCCACATTTGGGGGGGGCTATGCCCCATTAGCCCTGATCTTCCGCCACCTATGGTGTGAGGTGAAGGTAAGAATGGTTATTGAAGGCTTGTGTTGTTTTCAAAAAGTTACTGGGAAGAACTGGGTTATGAGTGAAGAGATACTGGTGTGAGATGGGATTGTTCTATACATGGAACATATAAATACATAATAAGCATGGCTAGAGATAATATGACAAGTCAAGACACGGAATAAGAACCCTAAATGAGAAAGTTTGCAGGGGGATTCAGATGTGTTTGACTCAGCCCCAGTTGCAGTCAAACAGTTTGGTTTCTTTTACTTTTCTAAATTTAACTCATATGTCTTAAAGCAAAGTGCTGTAGTGATATTACAAAAAAAAAAAAGAAAATTCAGGCATCATACAGAGCATCATGTATATATCTCAGGAAATGCACAATTCTGAATTTACATTTTTTTTATTTTTATAAACAAATATACTATTTTTAGAAACAGAAACAAATTTATAAAACACCCTTACCATTCTGCAATATTAGATATTTTATTTGTAACAACTTCGGGATATTTAGTGTAGGTTAGAATACCAGAATATTCTTTCCCAGCTAAGTAAAACAGAAGTGCATGATTGCTACAAGGATCTGAAAACCAAACTGATGAAAAGCCTTTGTGATAGATAACATTCATTAACAGAGATGATGCACTTTTCCTCCTTACTCATTCCACAAGAATGAGTACTTCAATAAAAGCAGAAACAGTTTGGTTGAAAAGAAGATATCGGAGTTAATAAGAGTAGTTTTAATTAACATTATGATTATGCTAAGACAGTTAAACAGGAAATTAAAAGTTAATTCAAAGACCTATTGAGAGCAGAGGAAATTCTCAAGAATATTTTTAATAGATCTATAACAGGGGTGGGCTAAATGCGGGCCAGGGGCCGGATGCGGCCTGCCAGGCCATTCTATCTGGCCCGCGGGGCCCCTAAAAAATTTAGAAAAATTAATATTTATCTGCCCTGGACTGCCAGTCATGCGGCCCTCGATGGCTTGCCAAAAACTCAGTAAGCGGCCCTCTGCCCAAAATAATTGCCCACCTCGATCTATAATATACTGTAGTTATATTTAATTTCTTCCTTCTTTGATCAGTTACTAAGGTCTTAATCCTGCAATGAGATCTACCAAAACAGAAACCTGGGTCCTTACAGACTCTTAGTGTTTTCACATAGACTTGGAGGCACTCAAATCTTTGGCAGCTTAGGATCATGGTTTCTCAACGTCAATGGAAACTTTGGAACATATTTTTTTCTAACTTCACAAGGTGAAGCCAATACAATAAGATTGCTTCCTCAGTCTTACCTGCTTTTAAAAAACTTAATCTTACGAACCTTACTGCATGTGCTTAACTTTATTCACAAGAGTATTCTTGTTAATAGAAGATAATATAAATATTTGCATAATCTTGTATTGTTATGCATTTTCTTTGCACAGTAGTGTAGTGCCTGAGCATATTTCTAAGGGTGAGGACATACGGATAACGTATCACAGTGTTAAAGGGCAAGGGGCTTTACTGTGCAACAGCTGCTGTACAGCAATTGCCTGAGTGCCACTCTTTACCCTCTCTTAAGCAGAAATTAATAGATAACAGCTCAGTCCTTAGGGAAACTACTGTGGGCTAAATTGTGACAATTCAGCTTTCATGTTCCTCAGAATAAGAGCCTGGCCAGAAGCAGTTAGCATAGAGCTGCTCATGTACAGAAAAGCCCCATTTCTGCATATCCCAATGTAAGTTGTTCATGTACCCAAACTTCCAGTTTAAAATCTTGCTACTTTTGTAGTTATAGTTCCCTCAAAACTACAACAATAATTTCTGTGGGGCAGAAGGTCCATATTAGAAAGAATATTATTTTAGATTTCTATTATATTGTTGTTCATCCTTAAAATTATCACGTTTAATGCTGGGATTGTTACTTGCCCAAACAGGATAGTGAAGAATTCTGTGTGCGCTATACAAATGTCTGGTTCAGAGCACTGGCGCAGACCAGGCATCA